AAAGATAATCGACATGCCACTGAGGTCTGCTCGAGCTATCCGTAATGAACTCCATCTCCCCTTTTTTTTTAAATCGAAAAATAAATTCGACGAAATCGAGAATCAAATAAAGATAATCGACCTGCCATCGAGGTCTGCTCGAACTATCCATAGTGAACACCATCTCCCTTCTTTTGAAGTCAAAAAATAAATTCGACGAAATCGAGAATCAAATAAAGATAATCGACATGCCACTGAGGTCTGCTCGAGCTATCCGTAATGAACTCCATCTCCCCTTTTTTTTTGAAGTCAAAAAATAAATTCGACGAAATCGAGAATCAAATAAAGATAATCGACCTGCCACTGAGGTCTGCTCGAGCTATCCGTAATGAACTCCATCTCCCCTTTTTTTGAAGTCGAAAAATAAATTCGACGAAATCGAGAATCAAATAAAGATAATCGACCTGCCACCGAGGTCTGCTCGAGCTATCCGTGTCTTTACCGTCCCAACGCTAGGAACGACCACCCAGCCCGGAGGCCTTAATCATGGTGGATTTTGATCTTCGAACACATGTCCACCCTCGAAGGAGTGGTCGTTACATGTGACCACTCAGCCCGGAGGCCTTTGTTATGGTGGATTTTGGTCTTCGAACACATGTCCACCCTCAAAGGAGTGGTCGTTACATGTGACCACCCAGCCCGGAGGCCTTAGTCATGGTGGATTTTTGTCTTCGAACACATGCCCTCCCTCAAATGAGTGGTCGTTACATGTGACCACCCAGCCCAGAGGCCTTAGTCATGGTGGATTTTTTTCTTCGAACTGCTTGAACACTTCGACCTGCCACTGAGGTCGACAAGGAAACACACCAAAGACCACGAGACAGAATAGTAATTGATCATTTTCGTTAGTCTCATCCAATGCATAGTTATATCGAACAAGATATAAAAATAAAAAGAATCAAGCATTTTTTCGACCTCCCTTTCATGTCTGTACACGACGACCTGAGTTGTCGTTTGCTCCATGCTTCCCACTCCTCACCATAGCTAATATTCAGGTCACCTGCTCATGCATTTTCCTCGAATAATTCAACAGATTCCATTAGTTGCATTTTTATCCATATCCTCTAATTTGCTATCCCGATAATAATAATAACAAAAGACGAATGAATCAAAGCAATCATATTGGTCCATATGCTTTTATACCACCACAATCTACATGCAAGTCTCTTTACCACGATATGAAATCGCATAAACACCCATTCAAATGTATAGTCGACCAGAATTTCGCATAAACACCCATGAATTCAACAAACAATTACAATAAACCATACTCTGCAGCTACAAACAATCATCAAACGAATGCACCAAACAAAAATTCAAATGAGTTACTCCAAATACCGAGCTCCTTAGTCATGACGACTCGAGACTGGTCAGCCCGAAGGCCTTAGTCGTGCCAGATTTTGTTCGAGGCTCCACGTACACCTCATTTTCTGCATTTTGTTAGTCACCCAAATAACAATTCCAGACATATCCACATATACCACAATTTCAGCAACATTTCACCCAAAATATGCAAACAATGAACATTCCTCCTAAAAAAGAATGCTAAGAGACTTCATATGTCCCAAAATAGTGTCAGTCGATCTTGACCATCGACAAGAGTTGAGATTAATTTTATACCTGAAGGTCGAAAATGTCACTCCCAATTATCCTACCTCTCCAATAAGAGAATGATTTCTGCCTCTGGAATTGCCACCTGCGATCGGCACCATCCAGACTCGTCCCTCAGTATCACCCTGCTTTGATGGATCCATGCTCGCTCACTTTGTCCTTGAAACTCCACAATTCGTCCACCATTACTTGTCAAGACACGGGTTACTTCGATGTTTCCTCGACAAGAATTCAAAGAGATATCGTTATCCATATTATATTCACGTCGTCCATTTTGCAATTTTTCACGCAAGAAAAACAAGAGATCACATACAAACATCACCATCTCCTCGATTTAAGACATGCTCGAGCAATGACATGCTTAAAAAATTATGAATAGTCAATTCAAACACCATCACAAGATATTCGCAATCCGAAACCACGACCCGCATTTATTTTCAATCAAATAAATTCTCTACGAATAAACCAAATAATATCTCCACAAATAAGTCAAATAATTTCACGATCAAATCGAATATTACCACGAACCAATCAAATAATTTCACGAGCGAATCCGATATGACCACGAATAAATCAAATACTTTCAGGAATAAATAACATAATTCTCCATGAATACTCCAAATAATATCTCATCGGCCAAATCAAATAATATTAACGAATAAGTCGTATAATCTCCTCGAGTAAATAGAATAATGCTCCACAAATAAATCCAATAATACTCTACCCATAAATAATATAGGCTCCACAGATAAATCAAATAATTTTGCCCGAATAAATCGAATATATTCTCCACAAATTTACGAAATAAACTCCACGAATATATTAAATATTCTCCACGAATATGCTAGATATGTCCACGAATATTTCACATATCCTCTGCAAATAAATCACATAATATCTCGAGCAAATCAAGTAATTCTCCCCAAGTAAATCAAATATCTCCATGAATAAATCATATAAGCTTCACGTATAAGTCAAATAATGTTACACAAATGATCCAATCAGCTCCATGTATAAGGTATATAATGTTCCACAAATAAATCCAATTATTCTCCATAGATTAGTCTAATAACTCCCACGAATATATCAAAATATTTACTCCAATTTCACCAATTAAAAAATCCTCAAGCTCAAACTTTAAATCCACTCCATACCTTCATCATGAGAATGATATTCCAAATTACCTTCTCGTTCGCTTTTAATCATCTCGAATTAATTTTGAGCACTAAATGGGGTTGTTTTTGTTCACTGGGCCATCTTTGAGAGACTTTTACAGGCAATGGGCCGCAGTTGAGGCGCTGATGGGCCGCAGACTACACGCTGTTGGGCCGGACTGAAGGCAGTTGGGGAGGTAGTGCTCGCGGGCCTGGATCGGGCTGACTTAGGGCTCTCACAGGCCAGATCGAGCCATAGGCTGTGACATATGCGGGCCGCGCGGGCTGGGCGCGGCCCGCGCTTTTTCCTTCTCTCCGCGGGCCTCGCGCAAACTGGGCCGACGCTATTGGGCTGAGAGGTGCTGCTCTCCTTGTGAGCTGAACGACGCTGGGCCGTGTCATTGGTGGACCTCTTGCGCTCGCTGGGCCGCCTCGCAGGGCCAGGTGCTGGTTAAGAGCAAGCAAAGTATTGTGGTCGAGCTGTGAGCAGCGTGACAGAACCTCGCCGGAAATTCGCTGCCGGTGAAAACTCGCCGGCTCCGGCGAACGTGACTGGTAGTGTGTGCGCCTCGATAAGGTGGTTCGAATGGTACCCTCGGCTTGGCGTGACTCACCGAGAATCACCGGCAAATTGGAAGAGATGACCGGTGTTGACCACCCTCCTCTTAGATCCAAGAACTTTGACCGGTTAATTGACATCCTTCCCGGTAGAATTTTCGATTGAAAACTTTAGGGTAGAACAAGCATGAGAAGAGCTTCGCAATGACATAAGAATTTTTCCGATCGGATAACTTTTCGCGGCGGCTGGCGGCGGAGGCGGCGGCGGCCGGCGGCGGGGTCCGACTAAGGTTAGGCTCTGTGGATTCGCCTCGTCGAGAGGATTCCGGTGGTACCTTCGGATTTTCCATAGCCCTCACGGATCGTCGGGAAAATGCATTTGAATGTCTGATTTTGACCAATTTTTTGCTAGATCCGGAAACTTTCACCGCAAAATTGACGGCCTTCCCGGAGGAATTTTCGCATGAAATTTAAAGGGGAGATCCACCTCCAAGAGATCTATTCAATGACGTAAAGGATTTTTCGATCGGAGCACGTTTTCCGGTGGCCGGCGGCGAGGGTGGCGGCCGGCGGTGGCGGTGGTGGCGGCGGCCTGTGGAGAAGAAGGAGCTTGCTAGAAGATTTCTCGAATTTTTCGGTCGGAACTCCATTTGGCTTTTTTCACGGGTCCCACAGACGGCGCCAATGAAGTGAATAAGATTTCACTCGGGCTCCTTCGACTCGAACGGCCACCGGACCTGCAAGAACCCAACGCCGGGAGGGGTCCCGGCGTCGGGCCTCCGACGCTCAAGTCAGAATCACTCCAAATCTGAAGAGTATAATTATGAATGTAGAGAGAGTGTCAATGGGATACCTTAGCCCCTTTTTATAGGGGGAGTGTACCTTATGGCCCAAGCTGGGCTTGTCCAATAGCGCCGTGCCACGTGTCCTAGCCCTGTGTAGGCATATTCTTCAATATATTCCCCTCTTATCCATTAGGCTTGGTCTAGTATATAATATCCTATATCACGTGGCATGTAAATAGACCCACCAAGTCTTATATGACATGGATAAAATTATATAAAATTTATACATTCCACTCCAATGCAAAGAGACCGGGTCGCTTTTTCATGTTGTCAAATCAACAGAACCCAGTCTACTTTCTATTCCATTAGAGCACCCACAATGCTTTGGGTCTCTTAACAAAAAAATCACATGTCACATGAGAAATAGACTTAGTCTATAAAAAAATGCTTCTCAATGCAATTAAAAGTGGATGGTCTAGCTTATGTGACAATAAAAAAAAGGGACCAAGTCCACACTTGGGTCTATTTTGGACCCAACTACAAACTCAAACACTCATCATTTATTTTTAATTTCATTTTTCTTTAAATAAAGAAAACATATTAGAGCATTTTTATTGGTTGACATGTATTCTAGACCTAGTATGTTTATTTTTGCATTGCAAAGTTTTTAAGTTTTTTTACTTGAGTTTGTCCATATCATTTAAGACCTAAATCTAATTATATGCTACATATACAACAAGAGATCCAAAGCATTGTGGATGCTCTTAGAGAATATATTTTTTTTAAGCTGAGTCTATTTCTTTGACATATAATTTTTTTTTTAATGAACCAATGCATTGTGAATGCTGATATTGGTTAAAACAAATGATTCTTCTTTTTAGTCAAAAGTTGAAAAAGAGAACTATTTTGGTCAAACAATTTTGCAAACAGTCCCCAGTCTTCACACCCCAAAGAACACTGATTGATCAATACAATCATTCTCTGGAACCCTACGAACACTCTCAGACACACACTAGTGAACCTCAATCTTCACAAATGGGTTTGTCGTGAGTTTTAGTGAAAAAGATCATAAATTCGCAATGGACGCAGTAGAAAAAGAGCTGGAGAGGAGAAGCCAGTTCTTGCACAGCTTAATAATACAGAAGAAGAAAACGTCGGTTGAGCAAAAACAAGAAAATGGTCGCTGGAACATACGCGTGAGGGCTTCAGATATGCCTCTCGCTCTGCAGAATCGGGCCTTTAAAATAGCTACTGACATTCTTGATTCCATGCCTTGTGCCAAGATTGACAGCAAACGCCTTGCCCTTTCGCTCAAGAAGGTACCTTTCTTTCTTTTT